GAATCACTTGAACCCAGGAGGTGGAGGTTGCAGTGAGCCGAGATCACACCACTGCACTCCAGCCTGGGCGACAGAGCAAGACTCTGTCTCAAAAACAAAAACAAAGATAACAACAACAACAACAACAACAAAAAACAGGGCACATGGAGAAAATAAATCTAAAGAGGCAAGAGCTCAAAGCTTCAGGATGAATGTCTGAACTTGGCATTGAAGAATGCATACAATTTAGAGAGGAATGATGTGGGAGGGCAGTCTAGGAAGGAGAGCGTGAGCAAAGGCGCAGGAGCAGGGATGTGCAGAGCTCATAAATTAGGAAAAAGGACTGGTCCAGGGTCACTGGGTTTAAGACTGTGTGATGGGAAAAGGTGGTGAGATGGCCAGGCGCAGTGGCTCATGCCTGTAATCCCAGCACTTTGCGAGGCCAAGGCGGGCAGATCACCTGAGGTCAGGAGTTCAAGACCAGCCTGATCAACATAGTGAATCCCATATCTACTAAAAATACAAAAATTAACTAGGCGTAGTGGCGCATGTCCCAGCTACTTGGGAAACTGAGGTGGGACAATCACTTGAACCTGGGAAGCGGAGGTTGCAGTGAGCCAAGATCACGTGCTACTGAACTCCAGCCTGGACAACAGAGTGAGACTCTGTCTCAAAAATAAATAAATAAATAAAAAGGTGGTGAGAATTAGATTAGAACAAAATTCGGTTGAGGTCTGTGCTCAGATGCTGTTTCATGGATGTCTGATTCTACTCAAGGACGCTTTGGGGATACAGAATCTAAGCACTAACGGTCCTCAGAGGTCTTCAGGGGATAAGGTTCCCTGTCCATTTTCCCTAGGAATCACCTCTATGGTATCCTTCTGTGTGCAAAGGAATCCACAGGGGAGGAGTAAAGATGGAACCTTCGATTCAGGAAGGTAATTGCAGGCAAGTAACTAAGCCTCAATTTCCTCAGGTGCAAAATGTGGGTAATTGACTTGCTTAATACATAGGATCGCTGTGAAGGCCAAACAGCTAGGATCACAAGCCTTGGAATTACAAGAGTCCCACCTCTGCTCTGTCATTTACTAGCTGTGTGAACCTCATACACTGATAAGTCCTTACTTTCACAGAGCCTCAGATTCTGTTCAGTAACGTGGTTGTAATAGTATTTACCTCCTAAGGTTTACCTGATGATTAACCAGAATAATGAATATAAAATGCTTAGCAAAAACGTACTCAGCAAATATTGGTTATAATGGTTGAGAAAATGACATGCACTACATACATGAGGTTTCAGTGTCTGAAACACGTACGATTTGTTACCAAAAGACTTATCCTGGGCCGGCGCAGTGGCTTACGCCTGTAATCTCAGCACTGGGGGAGGCCGAGGCAGGAGGATTGCTTCAGACCTGTGCAACATGGTGAGATACTGTGTCTACAAAAAATCAGCCGACCATGGTGATGTGTGCCTGTACCTCAGCTACTCCGGAAGGTGAGGTGGGAGGATCCCTTGAGCCCAGGAGCAGTGAGGTTGCCGTGAGCCGTGATCGCGCCACAGCACTCCATCCTGGGCGACAGAGCAAGACCCTTTCTGAAAGAAAAAAAATTTTAAAAATAAATAAATAAATAAATGATTTTAAAAAGAAAAGAAAGACTTAATCGGGAGGATTGGCTACATAGTGCAAATAAACAGAACAAAAATCTAGGGCCGCTGTAGCGGGCAAATTCGTTCACCAATTCCAACCAGACCCCGCCTCCAAGCAGGCAAGCCCCGCCTGCCCCAGGCTGAACCCTTGTCCCCGCCCCGACGCGCCTGCGCAGAGCGGGCCGCCGGCAGCCTAGGCGATGAGGGTACTGGTGCGGCGCTGTTGGGGTCCTCCGCTGGCTCATGGCGCTGGGCGTGGGAGGCCGAGTCCCCAGTGGCGAGCGCTGGCCCGGCTCGGCTGGGAGGACTCCAGAGTCCGCGAGAAGCCTCCCTGGCGGGTGCTCTTCTTCGGCACGGACCAGTTCGCCCGCGAGGCGCTGCGGGAGCTGCACGCCGCCAGGTACCCGGGCCAGGGATCCGGGGACCCGGCCGCTGAAGGCCCCCAGGCCGCGCCCGGGCGGCCGGCCCCGAGGGTTTTGGACTTCTGGTCGCGGAAAGCAGGGGCGCCATAGCGGTGTGGGCCCAGATCTTGGCATCTCCCGGCGCCCGGAAGGTGCGCCATTCCCGCTGGTCAGCCTTTGGGCGCCCAGTCCCTGCGGTCTGCGACCCCCACTCCCCGCCGCCTCTGTGGGTTCTCCAGACGCCCCGCCACCCACGCTGTGCCTAGCCGGGGCCAGGCGCTCTGCCTGCATCCCCCGGGCCAGTCCCACGGCCTCCCTGCCTGTTTTGCGTGTGGGGAATCCGTGGCTCGGAGAGGTGATGCGATTGCCGAAGGTCATCAGCCGAGGTGGTTCGGACTAAAACCCGGTCCCACTTCAAAGTTCTCCCTGCTTTGCATTTCCTCCTCCTGCCGCCTTCCTTAGGCACACCCATGTCTTGCTCTTTTGCTCCCCCTGTGCTCCTTGTATACAAGGACATAGTCCACAAGCTTCCTGTTTTCAAAAGGATAAATTTATAAATCAGAACTGTTAGGTATACATTTAGTATTCATAATATTTAACAAGTCTTGTTTACTGGGAAAGAAAATTATTTGAAATCCAACCAGTCCTGAGAGTCCATGGTATGTGGTGGCAAGACCATATTTACTTCTCTCTTTTTCCCAATTAATGTTTTTTATTTCCCCATTCTGTTTTTTCCTGACGCAGTCCCCCTTCCACTTTTTTTGTCATCCCTGTCTCCTCTTCCCTACAAATACGTCACTGCAGCCCCTCATGTATTGAATCCTTCGTCAATCCCCTGTGTGGTTTTCCTCCCTCTACACACCCCTCTGTGCACACACCCGGCGGGAAACCCTGTGTTCCCTTTGCACATCCTCCATGTGCTGTTGTCACATGCGTCTCTCACTGCATTTATACATTTATACCAACACTTTTGTTTTTGTTTGTTTTTGAGGCGGGGTCTCGCGCTGTCGCCCAGGCTGGAGTGCAGTGGCCAGCTCATAGCCCACTGCAGCCTCGACCTCAAGGATCAAGCAGTCCTCCCACCTCAGCTTCCAGAGTAGCTAGGACTACGGGCGCACACCACCACGCCTGATGTTTAAATTTTTTGTAGAGGCGGGTTTTCACCATGTTGTCCAGGCTTATCTCAAACTTCTGGGATCGAGCGATCCTCCCACCTTGGCTTCCCGAAGTGCTGAGATTACAGGCATGAGCCATCATTCCTGGCCTATCCTGATACTTCTGATGATGCTTCACTTGGCAGCTCCATTATTCCTGTGCTTGCTTTATAGTGCCCCAGGACATACTCCTCATAACTCCTCAACATGTGCATACAATACCTGTTTAATAAATATACCCCCCTGGGTACTAGAATACTATGCAGCAGGTAAAAAGTATGAGGTAGTGCTACATGTACTGCCGTGGAATGATGCCCATGTTATGTATTTTTGTTTTTTAAAAAGTAGTGTGATGATATCATGGTTATGGTAAAAAAAAAAAAAAAGTTCCATGGATTCAAAGGATATACAGTGAAAAGTTACTTCCTTCCGCCTCTCTTTAGTAGTTCCCAGTTCCTTTATCCAGAGACAGCCACTGTTTTCAGTTCCTTCTAGAAATGTTCAGTGCAAATACAAGTATATGTATAAGTAACCCATTTTTCAAGAAGACTCACATCATGGCATAAATAGCATTGTTAAGAGGAAAAAAATGCAAAGCAGTATGTAATATCCCAATTGTGTAAAGTATCCATACTATATATGTTTCTGTATGCACAGGAAATCCCTAGAATGATACTGTTCAAACAGTAGCCACTAGCCATGTGTCGCTCTTTACATTTTAAGTAATGAAAATTAAACAAAAAATGAAAACTGAGGCCGGGCATGGTGGTTCACGCGTGTAATCCCAGCACTTTGGGAGGTGGAGGCAGACGGATGACTTGAGGTCAGGAGTTTGAGACCAGCCTGGCCAACCTGGGGAAATCCCACCTCCGCTAAAAAACACAAAAATTAGCTGGGTAATTAGCTGCCTGTAATCCCAGCTACTTGGGAGGCTGAATCAGGAGAATCACTTGAACCACGGGGGCAGAGGTTACAGTGAGCTGAGATCACTCCACTGCACTGCAGCCTGGGTGAGAGAGTGAGACTCCATCTCAAAAAAGAAAAAATGAAAACTCAGTCTCTCACATTAGTTTTAATCATTTAGCCCTAAATGCTTCATGAGTTTAATCATACACATTCTTAGCGATATGTGAAGTCATTTTAGCTTTGAGTCATTGCCTTAACACTCATACTTTTCTTCCAATCTAACTTAGGGAAAACCAAGAGGAAGAGTTAATCGACAAACTGGAAGTGGTCACACTACCTTCCCTATCACCAAGAGGACTGCCAGTGAAGCAATATGCTGTGCAGTCTCAGCTTCCAATATACGAGTGGCCGGACGTGGGATCTGGAGAATATGATGTTGGAGTAGTGGCTTCATTTGGCCGACTTTTGAGTGAGGCTCTTATTCTTAAATTTCCCTAGTAAGTTTTATTTGTAAGGAAATACAGTATAGAAACCTTGGTCTTTATAAATGGGCCTTGTATCTAAAATGTGATAATTTGAACTCCAGTTATGCTTTCTGTAATTTTTTTTTTTAATTTTTACCATTTTATTTTTGTGTACATGTTTGCTTAAAGTCAATGAATTTCTCTGCCAGGTTCAGGTAACTGAAGGGCCTTTATAAGTAGTTTATATTGTTTAAACCCAAGGTATGCTGCAAACACAATCTGGAACACAATAAGAAATAACATCTTTCTAACGACAGGCTTAGACACTTGAATCCAGTAACTTAAGATGTTTCCTTTCTCTGGTAACAGAGTTGATTCATACCAGGCTGCTAGGCCTCCAGTCACAGGTATAGACAAGAAAACAGGGTATAGACCACCAAAAGCAAGACCAACCAATCCATTCTCTGTTATGGTACAGGTTTCACAATTCAAATCACCTGTATTCGAAGGAAAATTACAAAACTTTTGTAAGCTGTGTTTGTTGTAAGAAAAGGGATCACTGCCATTGGTAAGTCAGCAGCTATAAGAGCCTGTGCCATGTTCAAGACGCATTGAAAAAGACTATTTGCTATGAGGCCACAGAGGGCAGCATTAAATCCAACATATGCTGATCCCTGTTCAGGTAGATTCCGTTCTGCTTGTGGAAGCTGGTTAATTTTTCTGGTTATGACATCAAAAATTGTTAAGTTTTCCTTGATAGTACTGGATTTATGATTTTCCGTCTTGAGCCTTATGCTCTTCTCCCAGCAGCTGGTGTGCCTCCCCAGGTCATCTTCAGCCATGCGGGGGCTCACTGAAGCCTTGGTCAACTTGCCTGGGTACAGCTGCATTTGGCTGACACATGACTCGGCCTGATATTTTCTTTTCAAGTACTAAAGAACATTTTATTTGTGGCATGAGTTGTCAAAATGTATTTAATTCCTTGTCACCCTCTATAAGCTTTCATCCACCTTCGTTTAAATTCCATATATATGCTGAAAACACCTAAATTGGTCCCTCTAGCTCAGCTCTGTCCCCAAACTCTAGTCCCCTAATACCTACTGCCTCCACAGCTCTGCTTGGATGTCTGATAGCCGCTTTACATTCAAGATACCCAAAGCATCTCCTAAAATCTTTATCTCAGTAAATGGCTACTCCATCCTTCTAGCTGCTTGCACCAAAATCCTGGAGTCATGCTTGATTTGTTACACCCCATATCCCATCCATCAGTAAATCCTATTGGCTCTGCCTTCAAAATCTGTGTGGAATCTATCCGTATCTCATCACTTCCACTGCTGCCACTCTCGCCTACATTACTACAGAAGCCTCCTAACTGGTCCCTACTTCTGTCCTTGGCCCTCTCAGTCTTTTACCAATCCAGCAGCCAAAATGATCCTGTATTTGTTTATTTATTTCTTTCTATTTTATTGTTTTTAGAGACAGAGTCTTGCTGTCACCCAGGCTGGAGTAGGGTGTTGCTGTCATAGCTCACTGCAGCCCCAGACTCAAGGGATCTTCCTGCCTCAGCCTTCTGAGTAGCTAGGACTATAGGAATGTGCCACCACACCCAGCTCTTTTTTTTTTTTTTTTTTTTTTAGAGACAGGGGTCTCTCTACGTGGCCCAAGCTGGTCTCAAACTCCTGGCTGCATGTAATTTTCCTGCCTTGGCCTACCAAAGTTTTGGGATTACAGGCATGAGCCACTGTACCCTGCCTCAAAGTGATCCTTTTAAACCATAAGTCAGATCATGTCACTCTGCTCAAAATCCTCTGGTAGTTTTCTGTCTTACTCAGAATAAAAGTTAGGCCAGGCCTAACTGGCCTCCCAGCTGTGCCTTGAACTTGCCGAGCATGTACCTTCTTCGAGATCTTTGTACTTAATGTCCCCTCTGCCTGGAATGCTTTTCTCCCACATATATGCATAGTTATTTCCTTCTTCATGTTCTTGGTCAAGTGAAAGCTTTCTCTGACCACTACTAAAATTGTAATCTGTCCCCCTCATATTCCTCTTTGCTTTATTTTCTCCGTAGCCCTCAGCATCATCTGGCAAAACCTTTTACATATTTTATTTTTTCTTGCTTATCTCCCACTCTTTGTACATAAACTCCCTGAGGGCAGGTTTTTTTTTTTTTCTTTCTGGTTCACTGCTGCTTGTATGCCTAACACTTAGAACAGTGCCCACACATGAGTGTGCTCAGTGAATGTTTGTTGGATTGGGCTGAACAGTGAGACTTAGAATATAAGACTTTCTCATATGTACATGCTCCCAAGTGCACAGAATCATGCTGATGGAGGCATCATTAAACTAATGACAGATTAATAAAGTATTTAAATTGCACATGAGTGGATGATAGGTATATTGGGATAAACAGCAAAGGTGAATGGATCATTTGGTGGGAAGCTTATTTTAGGCTGGGCGTGGTGGCTCACGCCTGTGATCCCAGCACTTTGGGAGGCCGAGGCAGGTCACTGGAAGCTAGGAGTTGGAGATCACCCTGGGCAACATCCTAAGACCCTATCTCTACAAAAAATAAAAAAGTATCTGGATATGGTGGATGCACTTGTAGTCTCAGCAACTTAGGAGGTTGAGGTGGGAGGATCTCTTGAGCTTGGGAGGTTGAGGCTGCAGTGAGCCATCCAGCCTGGGCGACAGAGTGAGACCCTGTCTCAAAAAAATTTTTTTTTTTTTTGAGACGGAGTCTCGCTCTGTCACCCAGGCTGGAGTGCAGTGGCTGGATCTCAGCTCACTGCAAGCTCCGCCTCCCGGGTTTACGCCATTCTCCTGCCTCAGCCTCCCAAGTAGCTGGGACTACAGGCGCCCGCCACCTCGCCTGGCTAGTTTTTTGTATTTCTTAATAGAGACGGGGTTTCACCGTGTTAGCCAGGATGGTCTCGATCTCCTGACCTCGTGATCCGCCCGTCTCGGCCTCCCAAAGTGCTGGGATTACAGGCTTGAGCCACCGCGCCCGGCCAAAAAAAATTTTTAAATAAAGAAAGAAAAAAAAGAAAAAGCTTATTTTAGGCAGTCTGTATGTAAACCAAGTGACGTGAGGATAGTTATGTGACTAAACTATAAAATTAGAATTGTTCGTGAGATGCATAATAGGGTTTGAGTGGTTCTCTTATAGTCATAAATGCATTTTAAAATTTTATTTAAAAACTCCCAAACATCATGGGCTGTTGTAGAACATCTTTTTTGTTTGTTTGTTTGAGACAGAGTTTCGCTGTTGTTGCCCAGGCTGGAATGCAATGGCGTGATCTCGGCTCACCACAACCTCCGCCTCCCGAGTTCAAGCGATTCTCCTGCCTCAGCCTTCTGAGTAGCTGGGATTGCAAGCATGTGCCACCACACCTGGCTAATTTTGTGTTTTTAGTAGAGACAGGGTTTCTCCATGTTGGTCAGGCTGGTCTCAAACTCCCGGTCTCAGGTGATCTGCCCGCTTTGGCCTCCCAAAGTGCAGAGATTACAGGCGTGAGCCACCGCACCCAGCCAGAACATCTTTAGACAGCGAATAGTTGTCCTGGTTCTGTTTTTAATTAAATTTCATTGGTTTCTTACGATAAGAGAATTAACATCTAACTTTTTTCGTTTCAGGTGATACAAGACTTAGATTTAACTGTCAGTTTTTCCAAATTTCTGGGAAAGTTTCATAATGAAAAGTAGCATAATAGCTTAGGTACTGGTAACAAAGTGGTAAAGCCCACTGACATACTAATTTCTGCATCTTCTAACTCAGTGGCATATTGAATGTCCATCCCAGTTGCCTCCCGAGATGGCGTGGCCCAGCCCCTGTAATCCATACAGTGCTTCACGGAGACACAGTTACTGGAGTAACAATTATGCAAATTAGACCTAAAAGGTAGCATGTGTTTTTCTTTCTTGAGATTTTTGTGATTTTAAATGTTTATGTCAGCCTGTTTGGGGGGCAATGGATGAATGGGTGGTGCTCACTAATTTCTGTGACTCCAGAGTGCTTCTGTTTGCTTTTATATCCTTTCTGTTTTCTCCTGGATTCTAACATCAACTATATGTCTTTTGGTATTTATGTAGGGTCTCTTTAAAGTTCATATGAAAATTTTAATTTGTTAATTGAAATCAGTTATATTATTCATACTTGGATTTCTATAAAAGATATTATATAAATGAGAGATGGATTTTTGTATGTTAATTGTTTTGAATCTTGGTTTTGCTGGCCTTGGTTTCTAAACTATGGCCAAAAAATTTTTGGAACCTGAAATGAGAATATATTGTATATCAATATGCAATATAATTGTCCTAAAACATTCATTTTGTCCTGTCATACCTACAGAACAATTTAGAAACAATTTAGAACAATTTTTTAGGAACAATTATTTAGAATTACTTGAGGAGTTTATTCAGTCTCTGCCTGTTACCACCTAATTTCCCCTTAGAAAAGCATAATTCACAAGCTCACAAGAACAACATGGTATCTGGGATTTGCTTTAACTTACTTCAGAAAACAAGAGAGGGAGTAGATGAGACAACAGTGGCAAAACTTTGGTAGTTCTAAAATCTGAGCCAGGCATGGTGGCTCATGCCTGTAATCCTAACACTTTAGGAGGCCGAGGTGGGAAGATCATTTGAGTCTGGGAGTTCAAGACCACCCTGGGCAACATATAAAAAATAAAAAAATTAGCCAGGTGTGGTGGTACACACCTGTAGTCCCAGCTACTCAGGAGGATGAGGTGAGAGGATCTCTTCAGCCTAGGAGGTTGAGGCTGCAGTGAGGCAAGATCGTGCCATTGCATTCCAGCCTGGGCGATGGAGCAAAAACCTGTCTCAAAAAAAAAAAAATCTGAATGATGTGTATATGATGATTCATTAGACTGTTCACTCTGTTTTTGTGAATGTTTGCAATTTTTCACAATAAACATATTATTAAAGCTCCTAGGTTAGAAATAGAGTTAACAAAAACACAAAGCAAAAAAATTTAAATAAAGCATATTTCTCATGAAAACCCATGGCCAGTGTTTACAGAGCTTGATGTAAAATGTCAGACTTGTGGGAATGCAAATATACTTGCATTTACTTTTTTTTTTTCTTGAAGTGAAGTCTCACTCTGTCACCCAGGCTGTAATGTAGTGCAGTGATCTCAGCTCACTGCAACCTCCGCTTCCGAGGTTCAAGCAATTCTCCTGCTGCAGCCTCCCGAGTAGCTAGGACTACAGGCACACGCCACCGCACCCAGCTAATTTTTTGTATTTTTAGTAGAGATAGGGTTTCAGCATGTTGGCCAGGATGGTCTCGATCTCTGGACCTCGTGATCCGCCCACTTCGGTCTCTCAAAGTGCGGTGATTGGCCGGGCGCGGTGGCTCAAGCCTGTAATCCCAGCACTTTGGGAGGCCGAGACGGGC